AATCTTCTATCTGTTATATATATTTATTTACTCAGTAGTTAAAAGAGAAATTGGCCATGAACAAATGTTATTACCAACTCAAGATTAGTAATCAATTTATAATACGTTTTATAACATTTTATTGGCAATTAATTATTTTTTATATTTATTTTTTTTAAAAATTTTTAATTAGTACCTAAAGCCATCTACAAAGTAATTGCCAAAGGTTTACTTAGTACTGTTTTGTCGATTTTAGGCAACCCATTTTACACCTTTTCGTAATGACTAAAAATTGTGACAAAATCGCATATCTTCAGAAAAAACACATTCATGAAATAATCACACAGCTATTGCACTTTTACGAATACGGAATCTGTTCCTAAGATACATAAGCATTAGATGACATATTTGCCACCTCGTTTAAGTCCCTAATCTCTTCTAGAGAACGATTTGTATTAAGCCCTTATTATGACTAACTTTCGTAATTTATTTCTGTCAGCGTCATGATTATTTTAGAATACTAAATATGTCATTCCGTAGAGTAATATATGTACTTCAAGCCTACGTATTTACTTTTTTATAAATATGTAGCATTAAGTCGTGAATGTACATCTACGTAACCTCTCCCGGCGTATATAAAAATGGACGCTTTGAACCGCCCCCTTAATGATTTTGCTTGATATTTGTTTACCCTGTACCAAATTTCAACGCTCTATCATAAATGGTATTGAAAATATTTAGAAAAATGTGTTAAAATATCTGAACTTTGATGGCCCATATCTTGGCCATTTGAAGACTTTTATAATAATTTTTTTTCACGAATCGTCATCATTTTTGCTCTAGTATATGAGGTTAATTTTATGCCCCGAGTCACTGGAACATCCTGTATAAGACCTCAATGATATACATGTATATCAAAAACGGGTGGGTAAATCTCAACGCGGTTTTACCAAAATATGACAAATACTTGCGTTTTTCCGTTATCAGTTTCTCAAAGTCATCTCTATTTCATTTTTTTAGAGCGATTTAAGCAAATTCTCATCAAGTATGGTATCTCACTTTTGGGAGACCTGTACATTTTCATTTTGTCAAAAAAATGCGCGTTAAAAAATATAGCAGATGTCCAAACGTTTTTTCAGGCTTAAATCGCGATATTAATCATATAAACACAGATTACATCTGTGCAGTGTTGTTAAATACCCGGGTATTTATTTTCAAGGGTAAATTTCCTGGATATATATAGTCCGTTTTTTTTCTATAATACTTGTCAATGTAAATTTTTTAGGGTTTCTGTGGGTATTATCTAGGACCCTTATAAAATCTATGTTGTTTTCCTGGTTTTTAGTAACATATTCAGTAACTAAATAGTTGAGGTTAAAACACTAATAAAATTTAGATAAATACGATTTTAACGAAGTACTTATTTATTGTAAAAACGTGCTACAAAGTAATTAAATAGAACCAAACACCTTTTCTAGCTAAATAAATGGCAAATCACAACATTTTTTATGCACCTTTTCTTTTTGAAAACTCAAACGTCAGTGTGATATATTTATTTCAAAACATGATAAAACAAAACTCCCTGTTAATTTTGACAACTTTACAACAATTTCACAGGTATTATAGAAAAAAATGAACTATACCTGGGGGTATTTACCCAAGATGGGTATTTAGAGGTATTTATAAAATTTAATTTAAATTGAGTTGATAGCAGTTTTGCAAGCACTTGAAGAATGCAGGGTCGATTATCGATATACCAAACTTATTTATAACATCTACAAGCATGCTACAATGACTGTAAAATTGCATGAAAGTACTGAAGAGAATAGAAGTAGTAAAGTACTGATTGTGAGTAAAATACACTATTGAACCCAAATTGTTCGTCACAGTCCTCAGAGTGCATTTAAACAACTAGCTTGCACCCAAAAAGGTATAACCATTGATTGCAAATGCTTAAGTAATTTGCGCTACGCGGATAATATAGTTCTTATACCGGATAGCGGTGTGCAAGAGTCGGGCTAAATATCAACGAGGCGAAATCAAAATTTATGATAAATCTTGTTCCCAGCTCAAACATCAACATTGGGGATAATGAGATTGAGAGTGTTGACAGCTATGTATATCTTGGCTATGCGATTCGTGTATCGAGAGATAATCAAACAAGCGAACTGAACAGAAGGATCACACTCGTATGGGCAGCCTACGGGAAACTTAGAGACATCTTCAAGAGAAAAGGCCAAGAAAGGCTTTCAAACAATAAGGTGAGTGTCCCAATTGTTGACAGGGATCCAATAATTGACAATTTGTTTTGTTAACGTGATATTAAGAATGGTATTTATGATAGGTTGATGTATGCGGCCTTATTTTAATCTCTAAAAAAAATTTCCGAGTGTAAGTACCTTCATTGAACATCTGATATTTAGCGTTTTGTTTAAGGTAAGTAACACGTAAAAATTATTTATTTCAATGTTATTGTGTTTGTTTCTATATTACCTACTGTATAGTAACAATTATAAGGCATATACATACATGTTTTTATTAACATTATAAACTAAAATCATGTTTGAGGTTAGAATAGGAGGGTTGTCAACTATTAGAACTGTTGCTTCCAGACAAGTTCCTATACTTGACAGTGGTGTCAACTAAAGGACCAATACCATTTTCGCGAACGTTTTATATTTTCAAGGTAAAATTAGTTGGTGAATGGTATAAGACAACATATGTTCAAATGAGTAATATAGGTGGACATACCTGTCAACCATAAGAACATGTGACATGTCAACTTCAGGAACATCAGACGCAATAAATTATTAAAAATAAATAAAACTGTACCTCATTTCGATTTTTTTTGCTTATTTCAATCTTTTTCTCTTAGAATAATGCCGCGACAATACAAAAAATTAAAATTATATTCTCTGGAAGATTTACAAAATGCCATTGCGGCAGTAAAGCGTGGTTCATCAGTAAATGCTGCCAGTAAAAACTTTAACGTTCCTCGAACTACAATTAAATACAAACTAGAAGGAAAGTATGAGCTAGATTGCCGAATGGGCCCCGAAACAACACTTACAAAGGACGAAGAGGAAATTTTGGTAAAGTGGATATGTTCAGTTGCCGACGCCGGATTTCCTGTAACTAGACTTCAACTTTTGGATTCAGTTCAAATGTTAATAAAAAAATTAAATAGGCCTAATAAATTTACCAAAAACCGACCAGGCAGAAAATGGTATAAATGCTCTTTGCGTCGGCATCCTATTATTTCAGAACGACTGACTCAAAATCTGACTAAAGCCCGTTCTGAAGTTACAGAACAAAAAATCCGTAATTGGTTTAATGAAGTTACTGACCACTTTAAAGCGAAAAATATTGAAGACGTCCTTAAAGATCCAAGTAGAATATTTAACCTTGANATAGACAGCGGGGCCGCGTATACAGTTATCGGTAAAAACACTTTCGAACAATTGTACGGAAACAATCCTCCAAAGTTAACAAAACCGGAAATTACGTTAAGAGATTATCAAGGTCGGGTTGTGGTAATATTGGGACAGTGCGAAATACCTGTGCGCTTAAAAGACATAAAAACGAAATTGCCGGTTATCGTGGTCGCGTCTAATCGAGCTAATCTTCTGGGAAGAAATTGGTTCGCGCCTCTTGGGTTGAACATTAGCGGAATTAACCATATTTCGGGGTCGCGCGTCGGAAGTGCGTTTCTGGAAGAATTTCCTGAAGTCTTCAACGAGAAAATAGGCACTTATCGTGGACCTCCTGTATCATTTGTTTTTAATCCGAACGTACAGCCAACGGTGTTAAAACCTAGAAAAGTTCCGTTCGCGTTGCGCGATAAGGTCGACCAAGAACTTGATCGTCTAGTGCAGCAGGGAGTTTTGGAACCGGTATAGGAGTACAATAAATCGTGCGTTAACAACAAACAATTATCCAGTACCGGTTGTACAAGACATTCTTTCCGAGTTATCCGGCGGTAAAGTGTTCGCTAAATTGGACATGGCACACGCTTATTTACAATTAAGTGTGGATAACGACGCCGCGGATGCACAAACAATTGTAACCTATAAAGGAGCGTTTAGGTGCAAGAAATTACAATTCGGGGTATCAATAGCTCCACAAGTGTTCCAACAATTTATTGACAATAGATTGCGCGGAATTTCGGGCGTGATTCCATATTTTGACGATATCTTAATAGTCGGAAAGTCTGATACAGATCTCGAAGTAAAGGTGCGTGCGGTTCTCCTTCGATTTAAAGAAGATGGACTTCGATTAAAAAGGAGAAAGGAGTGTGTTTTCCGTACGGAATGTTTAAATTTCCTGGGGTTTCACATAAGTGCGGCCGGGGTTCGTCCCACTAAAGACAAAATAAACGCTATCGTGAATGCGCCGGCTCCTGCGAACAAAACAGAATTACAAGCATTCCTAGGTCTTGTAACCTTCTATCACAGTTTTATCAAAGACAAAGCTTCAATAGCCGAAGCCCTACACAAATTACTCCATAAAGACGTTGATTTTAAGTGGGGTGCTGAGCAAAACAATGCTTTTAAAAAGTTGAAAGACATCCTCGCGAGTGAACCACTTTTAGTTCACTATAATGAGAACAATCCATTAATTTTGACATGTGACGCAAGTGCGTACGGGGTGGGTTGCGTGTTGAGCCAATTGCAATCATCGGGTCGCGAAGCACCTGTTGCGTACCACAGCAGAACCCTATCATCGGCTGAACGCAATTACGCGCAAATTGACAAGGAGGCGCTAGCAATAGTGGTAAAAAATTCCACAATTACCTTTATGATCGACAGTTCTGTATAAAAACCGATCATAAGCCTTTACTGGGTATTCTTCGGGCGGATAAGGCTATTCCTGAAGTGGTGTCACCACGTTTTGTCAGATGGGTGATAATGTTATCGGCTTATTCGTATGATCTGTCCTATACACCAGGGAAAAAGATTGGCCATGCGGACGCGCTTAGCCGATTTCCAATAAAAGATACGTCCGGAGAAACAGAAAATATCGTTGATGTATTAGCACTAGAATGTGCTCCAGAGCAGATCCTGACTGCCGACGAGGTGGCACAGGAAACAACCAAAGATGTAATTTTGAACAGAATCCTCCAATGGGCAAGAAATGGATGGCCAAAAAATAACAAAGACTTCGGTAATGAATTTCAGCCATTTTTAAAAAGAAAACATGAAATTTCTTGTTATCTCGACTGTCTTTTGTGGGGAACCAGAATAATTGTTCCAACCGGAGGGAGGAAAAGGGTCCTAAGAACCTTACATACAGCGCATCCCGGAATAGTGCGAATGAAGGCTTTGGCGAGGTCGTACGTTTGGTGGCCAGGGCTCCGACAAGAAACTTTCCGCCTAAAGCGCCTTTACATCCATGGGAGTGGGCTAGAGCTCCATGGTCAAGACTGCATTTAGATTTCGCCGGACCTGTAAAGGGGAAATATTTCCTCATCATAGTGGACGCTTACTCTAAGTGGTTGGAAGTGAGACAGGTGGGAGGACCTTCCACTGCGGAAACAATAAGGGTTCTACGCGAACTATTTGCAACACACGGTATCCCGGATGTTTGCGTCTCTGACAATGGTACAGCTTTCACATCGATAGTTTTTAAAGAATTTTTAAAATCAAACTCCATAAGACAAGCTTTGGTGGCTCCGTATCATCCGAGCAGTAATGGGCAAGCCGAAAGGATGGTGCAAGATTTTAAAATGGCCTTGAAGAAGATGTCGGAAGATAGCCTAGACAAAGTGTTGGCAAGATACCTCTTGACACAACACATAACGCCGCATACAACGACAGGAAGAGCTCCATCAGAATTATTAATGGGAAGAAGACTCACTTGTCTACTGGATAGAGTACATCCGAATTTTAGCAAAAAAATGAAGGAAAAACAAGAAGATCAGTGCTCAACAGCAGCCCCAAGACGCTTCAACAGCGATGATCCCATTTTTATAAGATCATACACAGCACAACAGAAGTGGGAACCTGCCACCGTAGCTGAAGCGACGGAACCACTGAGTTATAAAGTACTTACTCCGGAAGGTAAGCTCTTAAAGAGACACTCTGATCAAATAAGAGATAGAGAACTGACAGAAGAGATGAAACCTGAGGCAGATGGAAGTTTACACAGTCCGGCTGATTCCGAGGATGAAGATGTGCCACAACGGAGTACAGAAGACGAGGTAGCTGAGACACCCGCGCCAAGACCTTCCAAAATAAGGAAGCTTCCTCTCAGATTCTCTCAGAAAGACTTTGATTTAGGGATGGTGCGCGAATCTTCCTTGGAGGGAGGAGTGTAATGTATTGCATGAACTTGGTGCGCGTGCGTGAAAGCGCGAGAAGAAAAAGACTTCCGAACGTTAGTTTTAGTAAACAGTCAGTTAGTTTTTGCCTGTCCTAGTGATTGTATCGACTCGAATGTATTGGTTAGAAAATATAACAACACCAAGTCAACCCTTTGTTTTATTTCTCTCTACTCAAACATAACAGGAACTATATGCATCAGAGATTTTTTGTTTTGTCAAACACCTCAGTCTTTTATATTCCGCTGATTAGAAAGCACCATTGCTTCTCCTCCACTTCTTCCTATAATACTCTTTCAACTTTAATAGCCGCTTAATTTCGGAGTGTACCAAATAGGGTATGAGGATCTACAACACAATCTCTTAGGAACAAATAAATCCAAAATCTCATACAACTTTGTACAGAAAGCTCGCAGAGCATCTTCCGCAATGTGGAGGTTAACATTTAGAAAAGACTAATCCGTGTAAAGTAGTTCATCATACAAGCCAGGAAAGTTGGCTCTTCGAAAATTATAGCGACCACCCAAAGACGGAAGGTTCGGCAAACCATCCTTTTCCGTCAGTAAATTCATCAATCAGCATGAACAAGATCAAACTGATGATCGGCATTTGTCAGACCCAAATCCAATAGACGATTGTCACAGAAGTTGTATAAAGTTGATACCTACTCAAGATATATACTATACATATTTCATACATCATGGGCACTCTGTAGTAGCAGTAATTAGAAATATAAAAAAACATAATAACCCTTACTAGAATAAAGATGAAATAAAGATATGCATAATAAAGACATTTTTTTGATTAATTTGTCTATGAAACTTATCAAAAAACCTAAAACATATGAAATAAAAGTTGTTAAAAATTTGTTAAACAAAATACCCGAAACATGTAAAAGAATAGAGGAATAATCCAAATCCAAATGTACACTTTAATGGTAAAGATACCCATAACAGACGGGCTGCACAATTGGAAATGAGTTATTGTAGGCTTAAAATACTTAAAATAATAATTCAATATAAAATCATTATTCTTTTNGTAGCAACGTCCGATCAGTGGCGAGACTATCATCAAAGAAAAGAATTGGAGAAACAAAGGAAGGAACAAGAAAAAGAAGAACGCAAGAGAAAAAGAGAACTAGCAAAAATAGAAAAAGAAAACAAGTTCAAGTCCAGAAAAAAGATTAAGCCTAGCACAGAAAACGATGAATCCTCTTCGGAGTCCTCGGTTAAGATGAATATTCAATCCGAAGGAGAAGGAGATGGTTGAATCAACAGTACGAGGCTGAATCTGATGGCGATGGTAATGAGAAACATGAATTCTTGAAGGACATATCTCCCAATGATTTTGTAATAATCCGTTACGATGATCATTATTACCCAGGTAATTTAGTAAATGTAATAATAATAATAAATGGTCAACTAATAACTAGGAAATCTCATTTTTAGGAAAAGTGGTTGAAAAGAATGAAAGAAAAAATGAATACGAGAAGAAATTTTCCTCACATCTTCACAATTGCAGAGAATCATTACAAACACTCACTTGCCATTTTGTCGTCCAAGACGTTTACACCCCATTAAATTTCTATCGCTAAAAAAGAATTTGAGTACATGGTATCGCTTGATATCTGTAGACCATCTTGTTCGCAAGTCTCGTCTCCATTGCACATGGTGCCCAAGAAAGATTCGAATGATTGGCGTCCCTGTGGCGACTATCGTCAGTTGAATCTTGCCACAGTACCTGATCGTTATCCATTACGTCACATCCATGACTTCAATCTTCATCTTCATGGTTGTACAATATTTTCTAAAGTCGATCTAGTACGTGCATACCATCAAATCCCTGTAGCTCAAGAAGACGTTTACAAAACCGCAATAACTACCCCTTTTGGGCTATTCGAATTTACAAGAATGCCTTTTGGTCTTCGGAATGCTGCCCAAACGTTCAAACGTTTCATCAATGAAGTCCTCTCATGTTTCAATTTCCTTTGTTTATTTGGACGATATTCTTATTGCAAGCAAGGATGAAACCGAACATATTTCACATTTAACTCAATTATTCAAGAAATTAAATGATTACATCAACATTCAACCTTCTAAATGCATTTTTGGTGTTAAATCTTTAGATTTTCTTGGACATCACATATCTTCAAAAGGTATTCGTCCTTCTTTATCGCGAGTTAATGTTATTACTAACTTTCCCAAGCCTGTTTCTTTAAAAGAGCTACAAAGATTCTTAGGTATGATAAATTTTTATCATCGATTCATTCCTAAACTATCACAGATTTTAGCACCACTGAATAATTTATCAGCTCGTCCAAATGTTAATAAAAATAAATCGATCTCTTCATGGTCAAACGAACATGAATTATCATTCATTCAAGCTAAAGAACTTCTTTCTTCTGCGACAACACTTGCGCATCCATCTATTCATGCGTCAAATCTCCTCTTTAGAAGACCATTCCGAGCGGAAGGTTTGAACACATACATATTGATTTAATTGGCCCCCTTTCCCCATCACTTGGTTCTACATAATATGTACTAACAGTTATCGACCAATTTACTAGATGGCCTGAAGCATTAGCTCTCAAAAATATTACCTCTTCCACCATTGCAAACACATTACTTCGTCATCGTTTTTCAAGATTCGGTATACCTCATACTATAACCCATGACCGAGGCAAACAGTTTGAATCCAATCTCTTTTCACAATTTAATAAAATTCTTGGTATCCATCAAATCCACACATCTACATACCATCCACGAAGTAATGGAATTTTAGAGAGATTCCATCGAACTCTCAAAACCGCTATTACTGCAAGTAGTTTTGGTGAAAGATGGAATGAAGCTCTTCCACTCATTTTGTTGGGTATACGTTCTACATTAAAAGAGGATCTTGGTTCTACTTCAGCCGAGTTATTATACGGTCAAACACTCCGACTACCTGGAGAATTTTTTATTACTTCTACGCCACAAACAAATTGATCCCCTCTTAGAAAATTTACGACAGACTTTCTCCGCAATTAAGCCAATTTCTTCAACATTTCATTCTTATACAAAACCATTTATCCACAAAGATTTATATAATACAAATTATGTTTTTGTTAGAGTTGACGGTAAACGACCTTCACTCACTTTTAATTACGATGGACCTTATAAAGTCATAGAAAAATATGAAAAAACTTTTAAAATTCTTCGTAACAACTCGCATGTTATCATTAACATTAATCGTTTGAAACCAGCATTCATTCTGAATGATAATTTAGTTGTCAAAAATGACAATGTCAATTGTGTTGACATACCACTCAAAACTCATTAGTAATCTTTTTCATGTCAACATATTACCCTTTCGTTTTGCCAACATAATAATTAACTTATTGCAAGCTCAATGATTATTTTCCTTGTTGGAAGACGAAATATTAGTTAATCGAAGCAGTTCAACTTCTTTATTATTATTATTTGTAAAATAATTTTAAGTTACCCTACATCTTTTGTTGTATTTGTGATTGCTCGTTAGGGGGGGAATATATGTGGTAACCGCCACATTCATTAAGTGTAATATATTATAATATCGTAGTGATAAGTTTGTTAATAAAAAATAAAAAAAAACAACTACAACAAAACAAATTAAATAAATAAATAATTCAAATTAAAACCATAAAAACTGGCGTTCTCATTTTTTGTGTAGAACAAATTAATTCATTTACAATTAACTTGTAACTGCAGTGATGAACCCGATTTTACTGAGGTACCATTTTGTGATAGTATTAAAAATTCTTTATTATTTATCTGTTTCAATTCAACAGAGTTGGAAAGACGTTTCAATAACTCAACAATTCCCGGATGGCCAGTCGTTTCTACTGGTTTTTCTTTACTCATTTCTCTTGTAATTGCAAACACACACTTTCGAATCTACTGTTATTGGAGATAGTGCGTCCGCGACTGAATTATCTTTATCGCTTACGTAATGAACAGAAAAATGCGATTCTTCTAAAATTAACCTAAATTTTGTTAACCTAGAAGACGGATCGTTCGTACCGAACAAGTAAACTAAAGGACGATGGTCTGTATAAATTTTGAATTTTCTACCAAATAAATAAGGTCTAAAATGTTTGACAGACCAAACAATTGCTAACAATTCCTTTTCAATGGTTGCATAATTTAATTCAGCTGTATTTAAAGCTCTACTTGCGAAAGCTATTGGTCTATTACCTGAATTGGATAGAACTGATCCAATTGCATATTCAGAGGCATCCGTTTGAAGGATAAATTCGTTCGAAGGTGAAAAATCTGGATATAGTAAGATTGGGGGGTTAATTAAAACGAACTTAAGCCTTTCAAAAGCTACCTGGCTATCGTTATTCCAATCAAATCTTACTGCTAAATTTGCGCGTTAATTTTTTTAATAGATTTACTATATTGCAGCAAAATTTGATATAAATTTTCTGTAATCATTTGCAAAAGCTACGAATCGTTTACACTCATCTGTACAAACTAGGTGTTGGATAATTTTGAATGACGCTAATTTTATTTGGATCTGGGGAAATACCTTGTGATGATATTACATGTCCCAGATATAAAACTTCTTTCTTTAAAAATTGACATTTACTCGGATTTAATTTTAAATTTACATCACGAAGTCTGTTGAAAATTTTTATTAAGTTTTGCGTATGATTTTGATCATCCAGATAAACAAAACAAGATTCACAGTTTAACAAGGACATAGCGATTGTCATCACAATTTAAAATGCACTGGGGCTAGTTTTTAAACCCATCGGCAATCTTGTCATATGAAACTGTCCCTTGCTAGTAGTAAATGATTTACAGCCTTGGCCATAAGTATGTACAATATGTATGTACAATTATCATTGCGGAACGAATACAAATATATTCAATGGCGCGTGCCGGATCTTCACTCAATGAGATATCCCAACATGTTAATATATCGATAAGATTTTACTGATTTTTTTTAAATACTACACTCGACCGCAAAATTAACCTGACATTAAAATTTTTCAATTTTTTTTAATATTGTAAAATCGATTTTAAAATATTGGATATTATTTATCACAGATAATAAATGTTCGTCTTCGTGTTTATCATATCGTTTCTAGCTCAGAAAAACATCTTATATGTGTCCGAAAATCATAATGTCCGGTTAATTATGCAGTGGAGTGTTACCATACCTGTCGACATTTTATAGACCAAATCAATCAAAGGGACTGTTATATACTACTGTTATATGTTGATTGCATTACAGGAATTGCAAATAAGACGATGGATTCAGCGTGGGACGGAAAATGGAATCGAAGGTTTGAGGACAGTAGGTCGCGGACGACGGAGAGTAATTACTCCTGAAGAAGGCGATCAATTGATTGAGTATGTGAGGAATAATCCATTTGTCACGTCAAAAACGTTGGTAGCAGATTTAAATTTAAGTTGCACGCCGCTAACCGTTAGACGGTATTTGAATGCAAATGATAAAAAAAATAAGAATAACATTTTAAGACATTTTTTTTACAAAATAGGATTACTTTATTTTTAGGATTAAATTCTAGAATTCCTGCGCATAAGGTTGACATTACGCAATGCCGAAGCACGGCTTGAATTTTGCCGCGCTAATTTGAATAGGAATTGGAATAATGTATTTTCTGATGAAAAAACGTTTCAGACAAACGAAAAGGATTCGCGACGAGTGTGGCGTGAAAAAAACACGCGTCACTCCATGGATCACGTTATACCTAATAAACGTAGTGGAAGGATGTCCTTAGGTAAAATTTTCTTTATCTTTCGGTTCATATTAATACGATTATTATTATTGTAATCGTCAGGGGTATGGGGATCGATATTTGCAGATGGACCTGCAGAATTGGTCACAGTATCTTCACCTCATTTCAATGCCATTAGGTATATAGAAGCTCTGGAGGATGTCTTGCTACCATCTGCAAGAGCGATGTATGGAGGACAAATTTCATTTGTGCAGGATAATAGTCCAATACATACGGCGAGGTGTGTGCGGGACTGGTTTACAGAACATCCTGAGATTGAGGTAATCCGCTGGCCAGCAAGATCTCCAGATCCCAACACCATAGAGGAGGTTGGGAGTGCCATGATCCGGAAATAGCACGCAGAGGAAACGCATAATGTTGCTGCCCTCGAAAATAAAATTCACCGAAGGTGGGAGGACTTACGGGGGAAAAATTTGTGTGAGGTGCTGGTGAATTCGATGAGGAGGAAAACAATGGCTATTACACCTATTACTAATAAATA